TCACACACGCCTCAAGTTGCCCTCGTGTTGTTTCAGGTTCAAATAAAACTTTTATTTACTCTAGACTGTTAAAGGCAGAACAAACAGGTTGTGTTCTTATATTTCTTTGCCTTCACGACTGAACTCATGCAAACTGAAACGAAGTAAAACTTACTTTACTCATGCAAAGACAAAAATTTACATTTAAAAATTTGTTTCAAACCTAATTAAGAACAATCAGGCGAAGCCCCACTGAAAAATGTTTACTCATACTGAAAGATTGCGTCGACCCAACCCAGATATATCAGCTTACAACCACATCATTGCTTTATCATAAGAGAAAGCCACATAACGTAACATTTTCCAGAAGATTTGCATTTTTATATGTTCGTTCCAGTCAACTTTAATCCGTAAACTCAAACCTTCATGCTTCCAAACAGTTTTTAAAAAGATTTTTGAAGAGACAATGTTGCTTTTGATTAAAACAAAGAATAAATGTGGATTAAGAAAAAAAAGAGTGAAACATCTATTGTCTAAATTTAAGGTTTGCTCAAATGACCCAACAACGTATGACCTTTAATGTTCACATTTAGGCAGGACATTGAGTTCTGCTCTAAATAAGTGAAATAACTGAAACCATAACAATATTATGTCTAATAAGACTCACACGATGACAAAGCAGTGCCGTTAAGGACCCAAACACAGAGATGAGGACTGGAGGTGAGAGCTGATTTAATGGTAACTGACCTCAGAAAAACCAACAAAGCATGCTGGTGGCAACAATAGAAAGACCCGATGCAGGCTGTGAAAACCACTTAGTGCTGCTGGAGTGAGAGACAGGTGAGTTAATGAGCAGAAGAAAGACATTGTGAGAAGGAGGTGGATTAATCAGATGACGGAGAAATGTCACCAAGAAAGCAGAGAAATGATCACAAACAGAAATGCAAAGCAAGGATTCACAGAAACTCAAAACGCTGCAGACAGTAAAATGAAATTGCTTTCAGAGGAACATTGTTTATAGCTTCCTTATTCAGCCGTCTGAATAGACGACAATCAGTGTGAGCGATAGACGAAAGTCAGGTTTATCCAGTTTTGCCTAAAAGAAGCTTTCAATTTGAGAAAAGAAACACTTGGGAATGCTTTCTGTCCTTCGTGTTTCACACGGATGTACAGAGTACAGTTAAGCCCATATTTTAAAAAAATGTCACATATTTACAACATGTGTTTAACATATAGTGTTTATTCACATTTAATAAAAGAACTGGCACATCGCGTATTATGAATACCACTTTATAATGATCAATAAAAAATCTTTACTGTTATTTCAGCAAGAAAATCCTTCTGAGTTCACGTTTCCACTAATATTTTGACAACATTAGGTGATGAGTTTCAAATCTTTAAGGCTGGAAAGCCTCGTTGTCGTCGCCTTCATTTTTAAATCCCTCCTCAGGTTCTCAATCCGATTGAAGTTGAACTAAAACCATCCAGACCCTGACTGGATTAATCTCATACGTTTATATTATAGCCGGTCAAAAGACACATTAATGGAGACTTTTTTAAACCAAAATCTGCCAGCTATGTGAATAATTTTGGGCTTGGCTGTATATATACCTATACATTGAGAAAGATGACATGATGTAGAGAGAATAAATGACATTCTGCTCCTGAGAGTTATCGTTGTATCCCTTCAGAAAAGCAAAATAAATAAAAAATAAATAAATAAAAATTTCATACACAGGCTTTATAAATCCAAACACAGGTAAAAAAAAAATAAACAGTCTTGAAGGATTATAAATTTTATTGGTATTTTCACCCTTATTTCAGGTTGTTTTCATGCCAAAGGATACATAGGACATTAAAGTTTAGGGCAGAAAATGTTTGGAGTAAAACAGATCATTTTAAGTTGAGGTTGTCTATTATGGCGCATTAGACTTGGTTCAGAACGGTCTACAGTTTTTAGTATGCAGTAAAATACTCCAAATAGGAATCTGGAATCAGCTTTCACATCGCCTGGCTCCTAAATCACATAAATTCACACATGGAGCTTAAATAAATGCCCAAGACCTAAAGAGCCACAGTTGACTACTTTGCTTTTGCTTCATTTTTCTCAATGGCTTTACAAAACTGACCTGGTCAATGAACAATATGAATCGCAAAGTAAAAAAATAAAAATACAGAGCTGCTTTAATTCAGAGCAGCTTACATTGCTCACTAAAACATCAGTGTGAAGCAAGAGAGGCTTAAAGGGAAATCAAGGTGTGGTGATCATTGCAGCTTCAGTATTTAAAAAAAACAAACTAAAGGAAATATAATATAAACCATGTTTCTATCTGCTCTTGGATCTTCTCCAGCTAACTTTGCCTCTTCGCTGTTTTTAACGCTCCCTGACAAAACACAGATCGCTGGAGCGGTTTCCCGGGAACAGGAGGGAGGGTTTCAGTCCCTGATGGAGCCACAAATACCTTCCAGTCGAGGAAATTGATTCCCCTGAAGTCTTAGAAAGCCTTAAATCTAAGTCAGTAAACAATAAACAGCTAATTAAAGACAGAAATCAGAGCAGGGGGCGCTCTGGTTCTCGGTGGAGGCTGTAAACACATTATCTGGGAAGCAGCCAGTGAAACTGCGATGCTGTGAGCATGTGGTTCAGAAACCAGAGAGCTGCCTCTCTCCTCTCTCCTTCCCCCTGCTCGCCATTATAGCTCCTCCAGCTTCCTTCAAACCACATTTGCTTCTCTCTGCTGCCCTCTAGTGGCCACTGACGATCAAAGCACTCTTAAAAAAAAATCAGTTTGGCCCAAAACATAAATAATTGGAACATTTTCTCACTTTTTCGTGTCAGGGATTGAGATACTCTCATCAAGTATGGCTTTGATGTCGTAGCCATTTCGGGCTTCTAATGATGCGATTTCAGAGCTCTGGTTTTTAAGGTGGATTTAAGGAGATTGTGACAGAACTTCAATCTATAAAACGAGAACCGGCTGCATGGATTTGAACTTATGAGGCCGTTTTCTCATTGAAGCCGTCTGAAAATTATACGCACTTAGACACCCAGTAACGTTTGTTTCATCTTTTTTTAGCAGCTTAGAGGAAAAACCACAAGCGTTTTATAGCCATGAGCAACGTCCTGACATCTTTTCTGCAAACCAGCATCCTTTCATCAGATCTGAACGCGTGAGGCAGGTTGTTCAAACGGTGACATCGCCTTCAAAACTGGTTACAGAATGGAAAACTGAGATCAAGAATAAGTGACAAGAATAGTTCTGACCTGAACACTATGAGGAGAAAATGGACTATGCTTAACCTGGGCCCATTTGAAATGAACTCTATATTTTCAGATTTTTGCCCAAATGTTGGTGATGGATCTAAAATAATAAATAAAAAGAAAAACCAGGGTTTCTTCTTTCCAAATATTAAACAAAAGTATTTAACCAACTTGTGCATCAAACTCTTACTTTTCTAAAGTGTCGCAGCTCCGTCAACCAACCATTGTTATTCCACATGGATAAAGAAGTTTGTATGCATCATGAAAATACCTAAACAAATTGGAGATCCATGCAAATGTTGAATGTGGGCACATCTCAGGCAAAGTGCTGCGAAAAGAACAAGAGTTGGCTCTTTTACAGATTTTTATTATTTTTTTAAAAAAATATTTTCTAGATGTTGCTCCTGCAGTGAATCCCATGTGGTTTGTATAACGAAATCCAAGTAAAGACTGACCTCATAAATTAGTGTTTTGTTATTTACACGAAAGAAGCAACTGCAATCCATTCTAAACTTTCCCTTGTACTTTGTACTAAATGTTGTATCTACTTTATTGTTTTCACGCTACCTTCAGGTTACGTTATTAGAAGTAACTATTTTTATTATTATTTTTCATTTTTGAAAATTGACAATAGGCCAATTGAAAACTACCTTGCAGTGTGTTTTGGTGCGTGCATATATATGTATTTTGTCTGATCAAACAAAACTACTGAGCTAACAGGAGATTTCTTTCTTCACAATAAACTTCCAGCCAGTTTACGGCTACAGAACGAAATGTCAGCCACGTCCTTTCACACAACTCCGAGCACTCAACTGAAACACTGCATGCGAAATAAAAACGAGACAAAAGCTGCAGCGCTTATTTTTGTTCCAATTTAGCGATATTTATATTGTGCGCCCTCTTGTGGTGATGCAGCGAGAAGTCTTATGCGCATGCGCTGGATTGAACCGCCATAAACTTCATAGATTTCACCTGTTTGAAGAAAAAGGTTAAGGAAACACCTTTACACGAAACATATTAAAGTTACTGACGGGTATTTTCAGCAGCAGAGCAGCAAGTTATTCTGCATTCTTGATGTTAGTTTATGTGTCATACAAATACATTTGGTTGTTGTTCAGTAAATTAGTTGATGTTATGTCGGGGCAACAATACCATGGCACTATCTCTAATTTTTGTAACACCAACAACCTGTGAATGTCAAATATTTGCTATATTGGACTATTTTTTTTTGTATTATTCATCCTTAAATTGTAAAATCAAGTTTAACTGAACTTGTTGGAGCCTCACAGGGTTTGTTTTAGGTTTGTTCAAACCTATTTGACCCAGTTATGGAGTTTCCGGATCTCGTAGGTGATTCCTGCACTTGTGTGGGAATTATGACAAAAACAACAGCATTAAAGCTACACTTATGTTACACAATGTGTTTAGTGTTTATTTTATATTAAGCCCCTAAAGGCATACACACTGCATTTTAATTAGAGCAAATTTACATCTTTGTTGTTAAATTGAATGTGAAAGTGATTGTTGTGACTAAAGTCCTTTCATTAGACATGGACATGTTTATTACGTTAAATGTTATTATGTCAAAGACACCATTTGGTTGTGATTAATATCAGTGCAAATAAACTGAACAGGATTATAACAGAATTGAAATAACCAGCATATGTATTCATCTTGTTTTTGTAGAACTGTGTTCATTTCATGAGCAGCTCACTTGTTTACAAGCATGTCACCCACTATGACATGAAATGGCTCCAAGTTTATTTATTTTAATAAAAAAAATAAACAGCTATAGAGACAGACAATCTTGATGTTAATTTATTGCTCTTAGCGATGTAAATTTGGGCTATAACAGGTTGATGTGCCTCTTAAAAAGCTCTCATTTACATCTAAGCTTTATGCTGAAGCTAAATGGCTGAATTCAGTTTGAAAATGCATAAGGCAGCAGGAACCTCTATAAAGCTTTCACAAAATTAAAGAAACCTTACATTTTAGCCTAAAAGATCTGGCAATCAACATAAAAAAAAAAACAAAAACAAAATTTGAGGCAAATTTTGAGGCATTTTCCCTAGGAATTTAGAGTGATACCATTTTTGTATGAGAAATTTAAGAACACTTTCAATGTGAATGAAACTCTGGGAGGCAAAGAAGACAGAAGGAGAAAAAACAGATGAATATAATCTCTTGTCAAAAAGGCTGACTGCAGAGAAGAGAAAAGGGCGCACATACAAATCATGCTCTCGTCTGGCACGGTTTCTGAGAGAACAAAGGAAGTAGTTGTGTTTTTTTTTTTTTTTTTAAGTGATTACGTCAAACTGAGTGAAAAACACTGTATCATATTCCCTGACGCACAAAGGAAAGAGAAAGGGAGAGAAGAAGCAATGAGGAAGTGGGTTCAACATTTTCTCTGAGTTCAGAGTTTAGCTTTGAGTGGCACGAACAACGTGGCCGGTAACAACCTGTGGACGATTTACAGAAACTAAACTTCTGACACTCTAACAACAACCTTTTATTTAGCAAAAGAGAATTAAAGAGCAGAGAGATAAAATGCCCTCTAGAGGACATTTAAAAAGCAGTAGTGGTAAACGTAGTGGTTTAAAAGAGATCGACACCAGATGCAATCCCTCATAACAAGAACTGACCTACAACAAATGTGGAGATACAATGTCTTGTTGATACAATTGTGTTTTTACAAATGCTTGTTATAAACAAATACCTAAAATAGAAGAAGATAATATACAGTTTATGCTGGGCATTCCTACAGGATTTTATACACTTTCAAGTATCATGGATACATACTGATGTTTACAAAAATATCTCTTGTAAAGCTTATTCATCTTATATACACATATATCATCTTAATCAGAATTTTCCTCCCCTTATCTTCACCACAGGTCCGGCTCCACCCAGACGACCTTCCTCTGCTCCTCCCATATGATGGTGCGGAGGCTGGTCAGCAGGGAGTTCTGGTCACACCAGGAGTCTGGAGCCATGCTGTGATACAGGCATGGCAGCTTGTCCAACAGCGGCTCCTCGCTCTTTGAACATGCAAGCAGCTGTTCCTCCGTCTGGCCGCTGCGCTGCAGCTTTGACCTGCCAAACGGAAAATAAAAGAGGCGCGTTGACTTCAGACCATGTGACATGTAAAATCAGTTCACTGGAGCTAACATGGTAGTTTTGTTACTGTCCAAGAAATCATAGGCGTTTTTTGTATAAAATTCTCAAAAGCCAATCACACTGTCTGGTAGCGTAGGGGTCAATGACCTGCTGGAAGAGGGAATCTTTTTCATCAAGGATATGCTGCAGGTAGCTTCATACATCCTCCAATCAACATTGAGTGGTTTCCTCATTCCTCAAGACAGTAACACTATGTCTCAATGTGGACATGGTGTTTGCAATTGGAGTGTTTTTCTCCACAAATAGCATTGTGCATTTGTAGGTCAAACAGTGGAACCGGAAACTTTTTACCAAATATTCACTATGTCTCCTGTAGGCCTGCTGTCTTTCACAAACTTGCTTTAAACATCTCTACAGCTTTAAATCTGACCCGTCTGCTGCGTTTCACGCTGTTTGTTCACTTATGTTATCAAACAGACCTCTGAAGCCTTCACAGAACAGCTATTAAATTACTCACACTTTTGCACTGATGAGATATCTTTGGAGGGCAATTGGTTGCACTGGATTTTATTCACAAGTATTGGACTAAAGACTCACGTTTCACATTTTTATTCACAAAACATCAAAGAATTTTGCACTAATCTATGTTAGTTTATTAAGTAGGATCCATATAAGGTAGTTTCAGGAAAAGTTCAAGGGGATTGACATTTCTAGCCCCTATGCATGCAGTGCTTAACAACTCAGTGGCTTCTGTGAAATAAACAAAAACAAAATAAACATACTTCAGTTTACGTGCGTTGCGTGCAGACACGCCCATAAAGATAATAACTGGAAAGATCTCGGAGCGGTGCAGCCGACGCACACAGTCCAGGCCTAATGGCAGCACACAGTGAAGGCCCTGAGAGAAGGAGGGGGATGGCAAAATATGCCGTTAAGTCAGAAAGATTGTCACTCTGAAAGGAGTTTCTTAGAATTAAAAATGACTGTCTGCTTGTGCTGATTTGTCTGGTAGTTTTAGTCTCGAATTAAAACCGCAACAATTCGCGATTTGGGGATTTGCATACACATAAATGTGTGACTTTAAAAAAAGATTTTGTTGACAGGTTAAATATCATTTTGTAGGCTCTAAATATTCTACAAGAGAGCACGTTCTGACCTTTTTCATGACTTTCTCAACACTTTGAAGAGTGTAGCACTGGTTTCCACCAGGCTCCACCTCCTCCAGAATCTCCGACCTCTGGAGACGAGCAGCATGTTCACTCGAGGTCAACATCTCTGAAGGGACAGAGACAGATCACAATGACACACAAACATACTATATCCGTTAATCCGGAGCACTAAATATTTAATTTTCCTATGTTTTCCGCTAAATGTTCTTGTTCTTTGTTATTGCAATGATTCCCACAAAGGTCAACAAACATTTAATTTACCCTCTGCAGGGAACATCGGCACATGCTTACTATTTATAGCTGCTGCGGATTTTTTTTTAGAAATATTTACCTACTGCTTTTATTTCCTTCCTAGATTACAGCTACAGATAAACACAATGAAATGTTTACCTCTGCCCAGTAAGAGACCAGATTGTTTACACAGCTAGTCAGACGCACCGTCATTTCGGCATAAAATCGGAAGTAGAGGAAGAGAAGAATCAGTAATCTCACCAATAAAACGTGCTATGTCTACTGAACATAAGGTGTGTTGCAAATGGATTCATGCCCTGTGAACTTCTTCATTCTTTGTCATGTTACAGCCACAAACCTCGGTGGGCTTTAATACAATTTCATGTAAGACACACAAAGAAACACAGTGATTGTGCAGAGGGAAGAATGATATATGGTTCTAGAAATGTATCAATTTAAACCTGAAAATTGTGGTGTGCGTTTCAGACCCTTTTCACATTTCAATACACTAAGCTGTCTCCAAAGTCATTGAAGTGGTTGCCACAGTGTGTAATTTAATTTAGTACAAATCCAGCGGTTCTGGAGGACGGCACTGAACTTGAGCTGTTAGAAAGAGTGAGCAAAAATTTGTAGATGTGCAAAACTGACAAAGTTGTTCTCCCAAAGACTTGTCACTTCCAACAAGGCAGTGATTCAGGAGGGCTGAGTAGAAATGTACTCTCTGCTTTTCAAATTGTTATGAAACAAAAAATTGCATGTACTTTTCCTTCCACTTCACAGATGCACATTTTGTGTTGACTTATCACACAAAATGCAATAACGCCGCAGCATCGCTTACCAGGCTCACAGAGCTGAAAGCCCTGCCAGCTGCCCAGCTTCTTGTCCAGCATGCGTCCCAGTATTGTTGGCAGCAGCAGGATGGGCCTGCAGACTGGTGGGAAATGAGGAGTAACAAGCGTGTAGGGCATGAGGGTCACACAGCTTTTGGGTGGTGACGGAGAACCTTCAGAGGTGGAAAAACAGAGGCAAATGTGCAATGTTCATTAGAAACTGTGAACACTGCAGCACCAAAATGGTAGTTAAGACAAGCATTTTACATTGTTATGGTGCTGCTGCTGCTCACTGTACCTGACTCCGTGCTGTTCGCGTTTTCTTCATCCACACTGACCCACAGAGGGTTCCTTCCTTGGCGCCCCGTGCTGACAATCCTCACTGCCTTCTGTTCACTGTGGGTGTTTTCTCGTCCAGCCTGGGATGATGACAGTTTTTCCATAATTAACTTAGAACCCTGAACACTTTATTAGTCAAATTGCTTAAAAAATTTTTTTAAATACCTTCTGGCGATTCTTTGTCTGAAAGCTCATATCTTCAATTGTTTGAATCAAAAGTCTCTGGGCCCTGTAACACAGGAGGAAATCTGTTCTCATCTTGAGCTGTTAGGACCTACTACCGGCTCGCAGCAAAGCACCAACCTATAATAATTGGGTACTGTTCCACTCTGCAGGTCCAGCAGCTGGCACGGGTGAACTTGGCTCGCTTGCCACAGATCCTCGGTGCCGGCAGGTCTCGTGTTTGTTACATGTAGGATATTGTTGCACGACACGGCCAAGGTCCCACTGGCACCAGCGGGAAGGGATAAATTGACCCGGATGTAAAAGGAGTCTCCTGACGACGTCGGGCTGTTCTGCAGCTGCTGCAGCAGCGCCTCGTAGTCTGCGCAGGACGACAACGACAGTAAATTTGCTGCAGCACCTTCATCACCAGCCGTCTTCTGCACATGATGCTGAGGATGTTTGTTGTCTATTTTGTGCTCTCTTAGATGACATTACACAGGAGAAGTGTCCAACTACTTTCAATGCCTATCGCCATGAAGGTGAATGGAAAACAGGAATGAATTGTTTTAGAATTAACACCTTTGGCAAACTATCACATCTCTGGCTGTTAGAGGCATCCATAGGGTTCATCTGCAGTAGACATTGGTGCACCAACTCCTTATGAGCTGAAACAAGCCTGCCAGTCAAGAATGAACTTATGATATACAATGTTTTTTTTTTTTTTTTTTTTGCTGATTAGAGTAAGTGTTGCAAATGCCTGAAAGCTTGAATTTTCAACACACAAATTGGTGAGGGAATATTATTTGCTGGACTATTTGTTTGTCTGTAACTCCATGATTTAATTACTCCACTCTAATATGAGTCAAAATCCTTTAGTGGATGAGAAAAATATTTAAATAGAGGTAACATTTTTATACTGTTTCCTCCATGTGACAAGATGACAAATGAGCTGTTATCTAATTTTGAAATAGCAAAAAAAAAAAAAAATATCTGCTTCCTGATGACTTCACATCAGCTGGAACCATTACTACCTACTGACTTAGAAAAAAAAAACACAAAATGCACAGCAGCACCAACTCTGCGTTTTAGTCTTTTTAACGCTGTCAGGTTTACCGTTTTGCCTGGGGCGGAGGGACAGCTGACAGAAACCTGTAACCTGGCCCAGAGCCCATGTAGCTTCCTCCAGAGTGGAGTCCTCCAACACCATCCTCAGAGCCCTGTGGTTTTGCTCATACCTGACCTGCAGAACCACAGCTTGATAAGAATTGCATTATTCATTACAGGAACACTTCACCTTTTTTATCAGTACACTCACCTCCACAATCTGCGCCCCGGGGCTGATGCCGGCAGTATGGGCTGCGCTGCCCTCAGTCACCTGGTGCACAAACACTCCAGACTTGTTTCCTCCCACGACTGAGAGCTGGCTTAGCAGGGCATCACACTGGAGGGAGAGGCCAAGAACGCGGCCATTAACGCGGATGGCTTTTGGACGAGAACGCACCAGGAAGGAAGGGGCTGAGGATTTTGAGTCACTGAGGAGAAGACAGAAAACACATTTCTAGTAATCACTCCAATTATTGAGAATTCTTTGTCACAAAGTTTTTTTTAACTTTGAAACAATACATTTAAAATACATTTTAAGCCTATGAAAGCACCCGGATCAGCTCAGACTTGGCAGAGAAATGAGGAAGTAGGAGATTCGGCATTAATTCGGGTAGTTGAGTAAGACTGTATCTGTTTATTAAATCTATTCATAGAGGTTTACAGGCCTATTTTTTTTTAACTGACAAGATATTGTTTACAGTTTATTCCATTTTATCACCCGCATTCTTCTACAAGAGACTATTTACATATTTAGGCTGTACTTTATAAATCCCAAATCCGTTTTTGTCCTCACCAGACGGAGCCGGAGCCATGAAAAGAGGAAGGTCTGGGTTTTTGCTCATCTTCACTCCCTGCTGAACAAAAGAGAGGCTGTTAGATGATCTGGCTACAGGGCTGCTTTCCCCAACAATAATATGCCAGAGTTAATGTATCACTTGTCAGAGCTGACAAAGGTTCAAATTAAAACAATAAGTAATATTGTTACTAGGTATTTCAACTAAACAGCACAAGACCAGACACTGAGGACAGCTCACTGTAGGACAGCTTTTGTCTCTACGTACCATCAGAAAGTAACACAAAGTCGTCCAGCACAGAGTCAGTTTCTGCTGTTTCCAAACTGCGTGAGAAGAAAGAACAAACGAGAATGAGCTTTGGAAATGTGCTTAGACACAGAAGTCAGTGGGACGGTGACAAAGCTAAAACGTCAGACAACTCTTAGCATGAAACATTCCCTTAGACTGCAGGAACAAAAGTAATAAAAGGAAACAGGATTAAAGAATACAAACAGACAGCTCAACACCGCTCGCCCTCCTCCATGACTGCATGACATGAACCTCACATTCCTGTGAATTAATAATTCACCTGAAAGTCATCTTACAACAGCAGAAAATAATGCAGAGGACAGAATTAAATTTTTCCTTTTTCCTGGTGTGTAAGGTGACACCCAATGGACTAGAACAAATTCACTATACGTGTACATATACTACAGCACACACACACCTGCTGTCTTCAAAAAAAAATTCTTGTCTTCTACGGAAAGACTCCGGACTTGGTGGTTCGACGCCTTTGGATCGGATGCTGGAGGGAACAGCATCTTCTGACTAAGAGAACATAAATACAGCAAATAAAAAGCACTGATTTCATTCAAAGTTTCTCAGGTTCTGTTGGAATTTTGCTTTATTATGTGGACTAGTTACTAGAACACAATGTTGCATCTTGAACATGATTTTCCAACAATATTGACTGTAGCAGAAATCTCATACGGTTGGATGCTTTTCCTCAGAAGAGACTGAAAAGCTGGTCAGGATTTGAATATATTTACTTATCTCCATAGCCAGTCGAAGTTTAGATGATTTTTTTCTCACAATTTATCAGTCAAAAAATTAAATTGCACATTTTTTTCCTTCTACTTCACAATTACAAGTCATCACATAAAGATGCAACAAGTCTGATCAAGATTAAGGAGCACAACATTTTGAAAAGTAGTGTAGCCTACAAAATCATCACTTAACACTAAATTCTTCTTAAATAGAAACCCATCTCTCACAGCGACATGTTACAGACCTCTGAGGTGCAGGAACTCAGGGACATGGGGTTAAGTGCGTCCATGCGGCGTAGTCTCCGTCGGTCTGGAACAGGACATTCTTCAGAGCTCGAAGTTGGACTCTCCCAGCTGATCTCCTTCACCTTCAATCCCAACCCAAAGGCATCAGTAAAGTCACTTCTTCATCTGTGGTACTTTTGTGTGAATGTGGTCATTTGTGTGCGTAAAACATACACCAGATTTCCGCAGGCGGGGTCTGGGGCTGCGCTTTGCCTGGAGCGTGAAGACGGCCTCCTGCAGCTCCACCAGCTGACTCCTCAACGTGTCCTTCTCAGCCAGGACGCGGGCGATCATGGCCTGGGCTTCGTCTCTGGACTGGTAGGCCTACACACACACACGGGAAGATTTCAAATGAATCAAAAGGTGCTCAGTTAAAACTAAATAGCGTCCTTACAGCTCCTGACTAAGGTAGGCCAGATTCCTGACTCATCTAGATGGTCACTCTGGAAACATGGTTGTGGACCAACTAAACCTGGATTTCTTCAAATTAATACATAACGTTGTCAACGATGGCTTCCATCGAGAAAAAAGAAATGCAGATTGGTATTAAAGTGGTGTCACATTTCCTTTTTTTACAAACTAACAATAAATGACAGAAATTTGAAATAGAAAAATAATGATTCATCTAAAAATTTTACATTTTTAATTTTTATTTTTAAACTATTAAAGATGGGATTTGATATTAGAAAAAAATGTTCAGCATGTTTAAATTACGTACAGAATATAATACATTTCATAGTACAAATACAGTAGGTAGGCTCATTATTCTTAACTGATAGACAAAGATTTCACTTAAAAATAAGGGAAATATTAAATGGGGAGGACTTCTTAGGGAATAACAGGATTTTTGAACCCATGATTCAAAAGCAATTTTTAATTCAACTTGAAGACACTTATGCACTGTCACAGGCAACAAGAACAATTATAAAAGGCTGATAGCTCCATGATGCAGCTTGGAGACACTTGATACTTTCTAAGGTGTGGGAGATTATAAGCCAACATTTTTCTTCGTACAGCGCTCGTGTTATAAATAGCAGCCAGGACGCCTCATGGGAATAACGTGTGCAACAAAGCATGCTTTTCATGCAAATTAACACACACATTTCTGCTTTGAGAGGGATTTTTTTTTAGATGTCAACCAATCTAGTATGCTTCTTAAATTGAAAAAAAAAGAAACCCTAACTCAAAACGGGAAGCTAAAACAATCCAATAATAAAAAAACAAATACTGATTTTACTGGTATGTGGCATTTATGAGGAAATAATAAGAAAAAACTTTATGGCGGATCAGTTCCAGCTGAACATTGAAGGTAAAATATGAAACAGAAGCACACAACTTGAAAACACGGTGGTTCCTGCACCCACCTGGTCCCTCTCTACCTGAAGTTCCTTCATCTGGCTCTGGACCACGGTGCTCTTCTGCTGTTGCATTTTACAGTCCAGAGAAAGCTGCTGCACCTGAAGGCTCAGAGCCTCTGTCTGATTCAAGAGCTGAAAAAACACATATGGCTAAATTAAAAACATAATAAAGTCCAAGTCCAACATGTAAACTAATGAAAAAAAATAAACATAGTTGATATTTTCCTTGTGGTCATGGGACAGTTTTATATGTCATGGTTAACTTTGTGCATGGAAATCCTGAAAGGTCACCTTCCGTTAATACTGTTAAGATGAATTTGCATGTTTTCTCCTCATTCATAATGATGGCAGAGCACAGACATACACACACACACCCCTGTTTGTCTCTGAGCAGCTTTTCATTCTCTTCTCTGTAGCTTTTCAGATGCTCCGCCAACTCCACCTGACTGTCGATTGCCTCTGCCAAGTCCTGCTGCAGGATGTCCTTATGAGCCTGACGGGTGAGAGGAAGACAAGACAAGATCACGAGGAGATAAGAAGAGGCTGATCCTTTCTCTGTTGAAAGCTCATCTAAGAAAACTGACACAATGAGAGGTTTCTGACCTCGTCCTGCAGCTGTGGGGTCTGAGAAGAAGAAACGCTTCGGAGGGAACGCTGTTTGTGGAACTCATTTTCCATCTGAATGCTCTGTAGATCCATCTGCAGCTGATATACCTGCCATCAAAGACAACAAGTACATCCCAATGATGATAATGAACTGTTGTGTCCTAATGAAAACAAAACAGGTGTGTTTTATATGCCATGGTGAAGTTTGTTTTTGTAGCTTGACATAAGTCTCAAAAAGTTTCTTTATAAATTCACATCTCTTAATAAAGAGCTGATATTTGATGTGTTTGATCCAACAGTACATAAATATCAATTATTTTTGCTTCGTTTATTTTTTTAAACTAAACAAAAAAGAAACATGGTTCTCTGTACAACCTTCCCCTAAGTCCTACTGTGATGTTGCAGAAAGACGTTTAACTTTCTTTTCATGAACAGTCATTTTTATTTGTGTCGCAGTTGATCATGCAGTGAGGAAAAAACTAGAGATCCAAATAAAAGGGTAAGAATGGAGAAGAAAAAAAAGTACACGAACCTGTAGTCAACAGTCATAATGTTTGTTAGAAGGATTATGGGATTGCATTTGGGTTTATGGTGATAATTAGAAAATACTTGAATTTGACAATCATTCATGAGTTTTCATTTCCTGATAAGAGGTTTAAAAAGAGGACAAAAGTACAAGAAGATAAGAAGACAAAAATAAAGACAAAATCTGAGACAAAGACAAAGGAGGAGCTTTGAGCTGGTAGAAAATTATTGTATATATGACAATACAAAAAAGTAATATTAACACCTAAAAGTGCATGTGTATTTTTATTTTTATTTTTTCAAATTTATGGTTCAAATTAATTAAATAAATACAAACTTATTCAAAGCTTGTTGGTAGCACCACAGATTTCTTAAGTTTAGAAATGCTTATAAATAAGACATATTGTGCTATTGTGCAAAGAAAAACAACGTGCTGCAGTCCTAATAAAGAGATTACGACATCCTTTGGTCAAAATCCCTCAGAAAGTGAAGCTGCTGCTTTTTTAACACCTCTTGTCAGAATGATGGGTTTTTGTGAGTGTGAGCTGAGTCACCACAGCTCCTTCTTTCCACTGTCCAATCAAAGTCGAAGGTCACTGCCGCTGTTCGATATCTGAAACGCAACTGCATAACTCGCCCTGTCCGTTTCAATAACCTCATTGCCACACATTGGTGGGATAATGTAGAATCCCTCAGGTTGAATAAGTACCAGTTACATAAACTTCTGGGTTTAGTAGTTGGTTTTCTGTTGAAGCTGAGATAAAAAGCTTTAGCTTTTACCCTTGACAAATTTCTTTCTGTAATAGAAGCAACAGCAGCAGCGACTCCTCATAGTGCTGTTAATGTCTTCAGTGACAAACTGCTCAGTGTGGTTTCTAGAAAAAATGCTTCAAAGACGCTCCGGTAGTCATATTTCCTGATTAGAATATGAAAAAAAAAAAAAAAAGGAAACTACTCATAGAGCATGATTAGCTCATTTCCTTTTAAAGTAAACCATTTAATTGCTAAAGAGAAATTACTAAGTGTAATATAAAAAAATGGAAAAAAAAATACTTCACACAAATCATCCTACTTCTGATGTAAGAAAATCCAGAAAGTTTTGATTAATAATAATAATAATAATAATACTAATAATAAGAGAAAAAGGTTTCGAACATGATACAAACTATTTTTTTATTGTCTGCACATACAAAGTGAACAAATAAATTTTCACTTTATGTGTCTAATCTTTATACAGTACTTTAGGCTCATGTACAACAATTACAATTTAAGCTTAATAGCTAAATATTGTTTAGTAATGTTTAGCCATGAACATTTTTTTTTTTTAAAAAAGGACCTTGAGTAATTCAACAAAGCTGTTGGGACAATGCTGCATAAAACATGCTATATTTGTTTCCTTCCGCCAGAACATTGTTCGTAAGATAAAATACTGTTATTTCATATTGCACATTTGAAGTGGAGTTGGGAGACAGCAGAGAATATTGTGAGATTGGCAAAAGACTGAATGAGTCCACGCCGTTGTCATGAAGCTGACATTTACAGTTTAAACATAGTACTGTATGTGCTTCATTTGTAAACCAGAGAAAACAAATTCTTGTGATTTTTTTCTTTGGGAAAAGATATGAACTATCACAGACAGCATGCCAGCATTTTACTATATAACACCGAAAATTCTTGGCTAAAATTTAATCACATTCTCCAAAGAGTTTTTCAAAAGATCTTCTTGATCGTTAATGGGAAAACCTGAGAATTACAATCAGTTTTTAAACATTCCCCTCTATATCCACCTTCACTCTCTTCTAGGAAGAAACAAGTTATCATTTAACTGGAAAGGAATTGAGGTGGAATTCAAGATGATCTAAGTCATTATTTCTTCTGAGCCTCCTTTTGTACTTTGAATACATTTTTTATGATACTGTTAACATTAATCATGCTTTCCCTGGATTAGCAATGACACATTGAGACTCTCAGAAGGAACAAGAAAGTATAACTTAAATTAAATATTAGACACTGCTTCTATTTTTCAGGAGAAAAAAAAATATTAAAACACAAAGAGAAAAAACTCACCTGCAGGTTCAGGTCATGCAGCCGCCCGTTTATAGCCGATTTCTCCTCAATGCTTGCAGTGTAGCGGATGTACAAGTCGCACTTCTCGTCCTTCAGCTTGGTGACTTCCCGCTGCAGAGAGCTCAGGTGTCTCTGCAAGCATGCGTTTTCAGTCTGAAGGTGGCTGTATTTCTCTTCCTGCTCCATTAGCTGGCTAACCTCCGACTCCAGGGAGGAGCAGCGGGCGCTCATCTTGCCAGCCTCGTTGCGGGCCTCCTGCAACTCCGTCTGCATCCCTGTTACCGCTCTGATGAGATACTCTGTCAGCTCTGAGTACTTAATCAGACCTGTGAGGAGGAAAATGCAGGTGAGCTGTAGGAGACATAGACACCCCTTGAAAGTGTAGATGTTTTAGGACACTTACCGCTGAATCTCGAGGGCTCTGTGCTGGGCTTACGTCCTGTAATTTGGGTGTAGAGAACTGGATAATGAATCATCAGCCCCTCTAGCAGAGCTATAGCTCCGTTTCTTCCCTGGGTCCTCAGCAGATCCAACATGTAGCCTAAAAGGTGGCACAATTAATCTCCATTTGTCTCAGATTCAGCTTCATGCGAAAGATGAAAAGTTTTATTTGGAAAGAACACACAAACACAAAAACCCAGTTTTTAATCCACCACATATGTTCATTGTTATTAACCTTGATCAATTCTCAAATAAAACATATTGACATTTCTTGACAGTCATTCAAAAACTTTTGAAAGTGAAATTTTGTTAATTTATAAAGTCAGAAACCTTTGACATTTCGAGTCAATGCACTAACAACTGCTGAATCTGTTAGACCCTGAATGTCAAATTAACTTTCTATTCACAATTACATGTCTACTACTCTAAATGCTAAAATAATACCATGATGATACAGGAATAATTCCTGTATTAGCTCTCTAACTGGATGAATGGTGGTGTGGCAAAATAGTTGCGCTCCTACAGAGGTTTCTGACCGTCCTTCCATCTCTAACTTCTGTGTGTGTGTGCGCAGGTGTGTGTGTGTGTGCATGATTGTGTGTCCTGTCTGATGTGTACCCCACCTCTCGCCCATTGACCACTGGAAAAAGGCACCAGCTCAGAGCTCCACTAAGGATAAGCGGGTAAGATAATGGATCGATGGACAATTTAGCTCTTTGTGAAAATGTAACAATAATACTCTTGTGGAGTGTGTCCCATTATATCTGTCTTACGGCTTTTCAGAAAGTCAAAAATCATATCGACAGTGAAACATGGTGGTGGTAGAGAGGTGGTCTGGGGGGGCTGCTGTGCAGTTTCAACACCTGAACCATTTATTGAAATTAAGGGAACTATGAATCTTGTTCTCTTGCCTAAAAATGCAGGAGATTTTAGGCAAATCTAAAGGCAGAGGGATGTTTAACCAGTACACTAGAAAGTTTATCTCAGAATGTAAAACAATGGATGGGTTTGGAGGGCTTGTCAAACTACACGCTTAAAGTTAATTCAGTTGCTGTGGTAGGACCTCACATATTCATGGTTAAAAAAATCTCCAGTGTTGCTCAATACAAGCAATTTTGCAAGCTAGTTATAACAGCTAGTTATTAGATTTGGATGACAATAACGTTTTACACAGGGTCTGGTTAGCCTGATTAGATTCTCCATTTGATGAATTAAAAGATCATTTGAAACTGGCTCTTTGCATTTACTGAGCTCAGCTTCATCTGGCAAACTTTGTTTGACAATCTGAGATATTTAGAGGGGAAAAAATATAAACAATAGACATACCTTTGATTGGCGGATTAAAAAACAAAAGGAGGGCAAATTAGAACGCATAACTTTACAATAAGAAGCTGAAGAAATTCTTATCAGCTTGAGCAGATCTAACTTTCTTAAAACAGTCACACAGAAAGTCTTGTCAGGAAGCTTACTTGTTCTCATGCAGCGATTAGTCAGATTGTGACGGGAAAGGATCTCGTCTTCATCCACCTCCGTGAGAACCTTGACCTGCCTGAGATAGGGGAACAAGATGCACGGTCGGACCCCGAGGGAGATCCGGTGACGGTTGTCATTGATCAGCTCCCAAAGTTCCTCCTCGCTCAACTCCTTCAGGTTGGGACCCTCTGGAACAGACTCCTCCGCCATCCTTGGTGCGTTGGATCACTGATGCGTACACACAGCTGAAGCCGGAGAGGCGGCAGCGAAGGCACACGCACACACACACACACACTTTTACAGCAGACCAACAGACTGAGTGAAGGAGCCGGGTGAAGAATGATTAAAAAAAACAAAGGCAGGGTAGTTTCCACGCCCTGCTGATTATTTCAAGCATGTGTCTGTGGGCGTGGAGGAAAACCTGTGTGACAACCTTCGTTGTGCAGCTCAGCTGGAGGATGGCACAATCATCATGAAGAAACAGGTTTTCACACATACTCGCTAGATTTTAACCACACTCTTAAAAACAATCAGCTAAACAAAGCGTTAATGTAAGCACCTCACTCTTGGATGCTGTTTGTTTTTAAAGACATATTCAGTGTCTTGTCTAACAATGATAACCTTCCTCTCTGCCAGTGTTCTGAGGTTAGTTTTTCACGTAATCTTTTGGGGGCTGATTAAAACAGGCATTAGAGTTCAGCTTAATTCCTAATCACAGGAAGGTAAACATTCTGCGCCACAGACAGGAGCAAACACAGAGAGCAACAGAGCAAAGTCCTCTTCCACAGAAGGAGGAGGACTTCCTCCTCCTGGAAATAATATTACCAGGACAAAGTGTTTTTCTAAGCCAAACATACGTGGGCTTAGTGTGTCATAAGGGAGGATGCATACAAATTGAAGCCGCTATATATATATAAGTGTAAGAGCTTTGCAGGATGTCTTTTGTCAGTGGTCACAGAAAAAGTCTGGAAGTTTAATGAAAGCTTTTGGGAAAAGCCCTATAAACTGTTTACGTAAGTGAGATCTACAACTTATGCACTGACAAACACAACTGTTATCTCAAAGACAGAACCGGTTTTAGGTTCTAAAAGCAAAATGATGCGACAACACACCACCCATAAAAAAGCTCACAGAAGATTCAAAATTCTTAAAAAGTATCTAAGAATTTAAATACTGAAAACAATGACTCTTTCTGGGGGACAATCAGCTTCTGTCAACAGTACAAGGCCTGATGATCTGCCTCATAGTCCTTAAAATAATAAAAGCTGAACATTATGTGGAATTTTCCAGCAGGATATAAACAACTACATAAAGCGGAGCTTCAAAATAATAGTAATAAAAAAAAAGGGGCAACAACAACTGAATCATCCCACATTTGATAACACAGATCACAGACAGTTTTGACCTGTAAGTACAAATTTTGGAATTCCACACAACTATTTAGAAGACTGATTTAAACCTATGACAAACCAATCTCAGAAATATTGTGAAAACTACGACAATATTTTACATTTTCAGAGAACTTTCAAAAAGTTGAAAGATTTCTGTAGAAAAAAACTGTTAAATTAGGTATGCTCCCAAGATCCTGAAATGAAATCTGTACACTGCAACTGTTTAGAAACTCCAATTAGTGGGGTAGTAGACAGGAAAAATTTAAAGCTTATTAGCACTAACAAGCATTTGTTTTTCACTCTATAGAACTTTTTTCCTCCTATATATATTTATGAACCTGTGTGTATATATGCATGTATTACTTTTTCTTATAACCATTTAATCTTTTTGTATAAAGCGTCATTGATCTGCCTTCTAGGTGTTGTATTTGTACTAAATTACACACTGAGGCCCACATAAGACTGGACGTATCACTTTAATTGTTCTTGTTTTTCAGATAGTGCCTTGAAAAATTATTAACTTTATTAACAGTCTTACTAACAATGGATATGTTTAGACAATAATTACATTGGTTTCCATGGTGCACAGTATTGAAGCTGCTATATGATCGGTGTTTCTCCAGTAGGAAAAGTAGCAACTTCTTCAAACTCACAAAAAATAATCAATGTATTTGTACATTCCTGCTTACGTTGTATTTCTCGCCACTATCAGAAAAACTCAACATAACAATCATTATAGGGGAAATGTGTGAAATAATGTGATCGGTGATAAGGCACAGTCAATTTCTGTCATTATTTGTTAGTTATTCAACAATTTCATTAGAGGAAACCACTTTAATTAATGACATGATTTTCCTCGCTTCATGTTAGTAGTGGTAATGACAGTTTGTTCAGGGCTTCGCCTGTAGACACAAACATGTTTTGGGAAACTCCTGCAGAGACATTTTAAGAAGAAGCCAGTTTCACTGCATGGCTTTGATCATTGAAAGGTCTTCACATTGTATTCATATCCAGTCTGCATGCCTCCATCATGGACTTCATGTGGCTGTTTGGTTTTAGAAGAAATATGTTCAGACTCAAACTGTGGTTTGCAGAACTATTCCAAGAGCCACAGCAGTGCTAACTAAGAAGCATCGTGAAACATGACGGTGTCCTGAAAAGCCTTAAATGATTAATTAATAAACATTTGGAGAAGCCATTAAAATGTCCTAATTATTTGATTCAATCAAGGTATCTTTTCATTACAAGTAAGACGCCTTTGCTGCAGCATATTACTGACAAATATACAGAGCAAACAACACAAGTGGAAGAAACGTGAATACACTGAACTTTACTTCCTAAAGTAAATTACAATTATTTCAAAACAAATAATTAAATCCAAACATTACAGGGAAGAAAAAATTATTCAAATAAACCATTAAATTAGATATTTGCTCTTGTATCTCATTCATATGCCTTTGTTGTACTCACTGTTATGTGTCAATCACCGCCTCACTCTAAGAACATTACTGGTTGGCGATTTTTATGTAAACTTTTGCTGCTTGTATCACAGGGTGCAACGCCCCCTGGTGCTGAGGGAAATCCTCATAGCTTTGCTTCAGGACCTTGCTGATATTCTCCAAGTCCTCCATTTGGCTCTGCTGAGTGGCTCTTATTGTGTCGCTGCTGGATGACAGTTTGTAGCTCCCCTTGCAAACGGCCTGCAGCTTCTTGTTTCGCTCCTGCATAGCAATTAACAAAGTCTGGTCCTGGAAAGAGGTGAAGAAAGACAAGGTGAAGTTGTTTGGTGCTTGTACATTTTTGAGCATTTGCAACACCCATCAGTCACGGCAGATGGAACAATAAGACATTATCTCAATTGCTCATTGTTAATGTGTGGGGGAGGTTGTTAAAAATAGAACCTGTGATACTCATGCCAGGAATTATAATTATGTTGACTTGACGTAGGCAAAAAAAAAAAAAAAAAAAAAACAACCTTAAAATAAACTTGGTCATTACGTCTTTATTGGGCTGTTGTGTAACATGATGTGATTCACTTGTTTCACTGATGAATGCCAGTTGTTATTTTTTGCATGAAGAATGAAGATAGTGCACTGCACTTGGTTCATTTTTATGACCGATGAGTACTGCTTAAAAAATTTACACCAACTATTTTAATCCATACAAAAAACTTGGAAAAAAAAACTTGCTCGCATATTTACCATGTCTTTGTTATCCTGGAGGTTTTGAAAGTTTTGGCCCATCTCTGTGCTGGTGCTTGACAGTTCAGTAACGCGTTGCATTTGCAGCTGAACATTCTCAACCAGGACAGTTTTCTTGTCCCCAAGCTCCTTCACCTCTTCTTCATAATTTTTAAAAACCTGAAAAGACATAATTATATAATTTGCTCCTTTTATTTTTCTGGATGTTGATAAATCTACTGCTCTTACAATCAATTGTTTTTGGATTTTCTTCTCCAGCGCAGCGCTGGAGCGTTTCAGCTCCCCCTTTGCAAGGTGTCTGCGGCGATCTCGGATCATGGCATCCTTGCGTATATCGAGGTTTTCTCTTCTCTCCACAGCTTTCTCGCTTTCCCTCATCAAATACTGTTGTCGTTTCGTCAGCTTGTCAATATGTGACTGCACAAATATTGAGGAAGGTCAAAAATAGAAATAAGAAAATGCATATTATATTTTTGAAAAATCATAAAGTGTTGTTGAATTTATAAAGTAGGATGTATTCTACTTTTTGCCACCACCAACCACCACTAGCACTGCCCTCCTCATCCTGAAAGGTATCACACCTTTATAAAAAAAAATCAATAATTTGACAGTCACCAGGCAAGAAGCAGGTGGTGATAGAAAAGGGAAAGACACATAACAATTTAAAATCAAACCCAGAACGGCAGCAATGACTGTTCAGGATGATCGTTCTACCTTTACATCACGCGGCGCACCAATTCAATCAGTGTTGTGAAACTAACGACGAGTGACAGCTTAAATTATTTGAGCAGACTCAAATAATTCGTACGTGGGTGATTGTGCACTCTTCTACTGTGAATAAATGTCTGGGATGCTTAAAATATTTTTGATAGGATTAGTTTTGCTCACCAAAAAAGGTAAACTGACCGAACTCTGCTGAAAGGTGGATGCTTACAGTTTTTCACATCACACAAGAAGACTCTTCATGCTGCAGCTGTTTTCAACTGCCCACAACTAATTTAGCTCATAACGTCTTTTTATTACTTGCACTTTTTTAAAATCAGTTGCACTTTTGCTCATATATAGTTACTTTAGTCTTATAAGAATGTCACTGTGCCTCATAGCATGTCTTACATATATAGTAAAAAATAGCTATACAGGACGATATGATTGAAAAATGTATCATAATACAAATGTTTTATCTCAGTCAATGATAATTGATTCGTTTTAGATTTTAAATATGTGAAGTACTGCCAAACTGGTGATGTGACCTTTCCTCCATTGTCTCTATTTTCCATTCAAGCTCTGGTACTCATTTTTTCCCCTTCCCTTCAAGTTGTGGTTTATTTTTAAGCAGCTGTGAGGCATGGTGGAGAAACCTGAAATTGCTGCTGTGAAACGTATTCAATAGGTTGTTGCTAGGTAACCAGAGAATGAGTGAGCAATATAAAAATACCATTGCAAAGAAACTAGAGAGACAACACTTCGCTTTTCAAATTTTTTACCTCAACAAACAGTAAAATCATCACGGGAAGCTAAATATGTTTACCTCCATTCGATGCATTTCAGCATTCATTTTCTGGATGTCTCCCTGGCTAATGTCGAACTCCACCACTGACCGAGTCTCCTTCAGAATATGGGTCTTCCTCTCCCAGAGCATGATCTGCTGCCTGCAGATTACAAGAGCCTAGAGTCAGACTGAGAAGCTGCTCCTTTAAATATGTTTAAAATATGACCGCAGAAACACATCAGCTTAAATTTCTTGTGTATTTTTAAAATTATATTAAAGTATGTAATTAAGATTTTTGTGAATAAATGTGACTGACTTAGCTTCCACCAGACACTTGAGAAGGTTCTCTTTTTCCTCCTGAGTGTTCTCAAGTTTCATGTAAAGACTGGCTGATCGCTCTTCAGCATCCTAACAAAGATACATTCAAGTTAGTTCTATTACAACGTCAAAAAGAGAAGGATAGCTAACAGTCATGCCATGCCTGGAGTTTGTGTCTAAAGTCTATCTCCATCTGCAGGTTTTCCAACTCCAGAGTCTCATTTCGCTCTTTGTTCTTCGACTTCAGCTTGCAGAGCTTCTCAAGGTCTTTCCTCAGAAGCGTTGAGCTCTTGTCCAGCTCTGTCAGTTCTCGTTCCTCTTCTTTAGTCTGACCTGGGCGAGGTGAACTTACAGTTAACATTGTTTAGGGATACTAATGGTTTATATATACTTATATTACAAGTGAATAGCTTTACAATTAAATGTGGTATTAGACTGGAAACTCATACACAACAAAATTACTGTACTACATCTGATTTAAAAGTGTCTTATAAAACCCAACAAGTGATTTTCTGTGCATGGGATGCGTACTATCTAGTCGGATATCCTTCATTTGTAGTCCAGTCCAGTCTTTCTGCAGTTTGCGCATCTTCTTGTTGTTGGCATCCAACTCTCTGGTCAGTCCCACCAGGGTTCCCTGGTGCAGCAACCAGAGGCGCTGCTCATTCTTGATGTGAGCATCAAGCTCCTCAATCTCACCCTGTATATTATGGATCTTGATTTGCAGAGGATGCATATCTTCTTGCTGGAAATAGAAAGAAACAAATCCAAAATGCATCTTGGTATTTTTAGGTCTAAATTACAAAAAGCATACTCGATTTACTTCATTATACTTATGAGTTAATTGTTTTTAAATAAATCACCAGTGGCACAACTGTAGATATCACGGAATCACTTTTTGGAATAAATAAATAAAGCATTTTCTATGAGCTTTTAATTAACAACCAATGGTTTTTCTCTTTTCCTCTGGTATTAACATAAGCTGGCATAGAGGCCCATTTCGCTTGTTCACTGTCTATTAACCTAAATGAGGACCATGATTTTTCTGCACCTGGCACTATAAGAAGCATCATAAGACAAAAGATAAAGTAAACCTCTAAAGTTCATTGCACCAAAAAGTGCCATCTTTACAACAAACACCAGTTATCTACACAACAACCAGTTATGTAGATAACTGATGTAGCCTCTTCAAAGGTAGATATAGAGTTTGCTAATGTTACATAGCCTTTAACTGGGACATTGCGCATTGGTCAGATTAGCTTTTTGGCAACAAATTCTCAGTTGGGTTTGGTGTGAAACAAAGGATAAAGTTTACATGTACATGAAAAGTGCTATATAAATATTTTACGTACTTACTTAAATGGACATATGTTTCATATCAAAACACACCAGAAAGATTTACATTTTAAAAAAAAATCAAGTGGGCTCTCCCAGAAAACTGGAAATGATTGATCACTGTGACTTTGTTCTCGACTGAATTTATGAACTCATTATACAAAAGGTTAGAATAGTACGAAGATTCCAGTGTGTCAGTATGCTACTGCAATAACAGATAGGTTTGTCTGATGTCTTTTATACATCATTGCCAGGGGTACAAATAAATGTGTCCGGCACGCAGTACCAAGGCTAAAGTTTACCATTTAGTCTCTTACCCCAGTGATCTCCACAATTTTAGCAATCCTGATTTTTAGGGTGTTGATCGTCGTTTCTTTCTGCCTGATTTGTCGAAGAAGTGAAGCATATGTATTCTCATGTGAGGTCAGTAACTTGTTGTACTTATTAATCTCCTCATCAAGGCTCTCCACGGAAAGGGTCAGGCTGTTGACATTCTGCTCCACCTTCTGGCACTCCAGCTTCACTGTCAAGGTGTCTTTTTCCTGCCGCTGCAGCTGATTCAGCTGTAGTTAATGTAGTAAGAAAGACAAAAGACGTACTTTCTCATTAAAAGACAAAATTAAGCATGATAAAGGAAAGCAAAGTAAATAAAAAATTGCTTAAATTGTGGATTCTCGTTTGTTGTTGTCCCACATTTGAAGCCAATTTTTTACCTTCGCCTTCTTTCGAGTGAGCAACTTGCTTGTGAGATTTTGTGAATGTGAAGCCGCCTTGCTGTGTGTGAACTGCTGCTGAATGGAGGCCATAATTTTCTCTTCCAGGTCCACACGTGCAGCACTCAGTTTCTCGAGCTGGTTCTTCTGACTGTTCAGTTCATTTTGATGTGTCATCATATCCTTGAAAAATACAAGTCGAGTTAGGAAACTGAAAGCAAGCATGCAAGCAGGGAGAGGTTTCAGAAGGTTTTTGCTGTACTTTTGTGAGTGTAGCAAAGATTTGCTTTGTTTCAGACAGGGATTTCAGACAGGCGGTGTACTGAGCCTGCAGCGCCTCTCGTTCCAACTTTTTCTTGTTGATCAGTTTTTCCACAGTCACACAATCCATTGAACTCCGGTTCAGCTCAACAGTCAGTGACTCATTGTTCTCCAGCTCTCCATTGATGGATTTCTTATAACCTTCAATCTCTCGTTCCAGCAAGACCAGATCATCCTCAACCGCACTAAAGTAAAAAACATGAAATCAAGCAAAGATAACATTGTTAGCATTTCAGATTAATAAAAATAAATAAATCTGAGTATATCCTAAAGATATAGAACTTTTGACAGATTTAGCAAAAACAACATATTTTTTACATCTGTCTGAGTAATCACAAACAGCCAAGCAAATGTTTCCTTTTCATTTAAACTTCTTCCTTGTTGAGTGGCATTGAAGATGCTGAAACCAACATCTTGAACCTTCCCCTGACTCTCCGTCTTACCGTAAAGCTTCCTGCATCGCATTAACAGTCTCATCATGTCTCTTTATGTCTGTTATGTTGCTGTTCCACTGCTGTAACAACTTCTTATGCATCAGTAGCAGCGATTCCAGCTCCATCTCAGCCTAGACAAAGACAGTCATGACTGCAGTTTCCAAGCCTGACCTCAGGTTCTGAATATATTAAGAAACTTTTAAAGAGTTAAGCTCGCTTGCACACCTTCTTAATGTTTATTTGCACTTGTCCTCTTTTTATTTAGCTTGTTATTATTGTCTGAATTACCATGTTTCATTGTACATTACATTGTAAAAATATTTGACATCGTTTTTTTTATTGTTATGCTGATGGTTCTCAGCTATATTTATCTACAGACCATGATGAATCAAGTCAACTTTTTAGCTATAGAGCAGGCATGTCTGTATGGAGGATTGATCTACATTGTAGAACAGAGAATTGGAGGGGATCCTTTGATCCTGCTGAAATAAGGCTGCACAACGCCACCTGTTGCACTGCTTTTTTTGATGGTAGTGCTATAGTGTGTTTGTTTTGTGATTTTTAGATGCTACATTAACAAGAATTTTTCCTCTGGAGATTAATGAAGTATTTGTCTGCCTATAAATGATAGTGAAAAAGTTAGCTCTGTTTAAGATGCATGTGATCTTAACCACTTATGCAGTACTCACTTCCTGTGATTATTATTTTCAAACACTGAGAAAATCCCCTTGAATGGCAGCACCATCCCACAAACATAAAACCACTACTTGTTTATTGACAAGAAAATTTTTCTGCAAAACAAGGTTCAGTAATACATAAAACCCACAGGAACTATTCATGGTGTGAAGTACTCTGCTTTTTGTGTATTCATATTTAAGTTCTTTTACATTTCAAGTTGTATTCATTTTTTTAATACACTATGACAATAAAAATAGTCAAATAGTTTACCTATGTGACTACATTAACAATGTCAAAAGTAATGTGAGAAGTCCATGTTATAGGACCTGACACACTGACATTCGCTTTAAACAAAAAAACACCAAGGTGGAAGCACTGAATAAAAAAATAAATGAATTAAAATGATCAGAAAAGCACTTGTACAAATAAAAGGGATTGCCTGACATAGATTTTTCACAATCACTGACGCAGTTATAAAACTGATTAATTAAAAAATGTGATGTATATTACATGGTCTTCTTCTAAAGTTAACATTTGAAACTGATAGGCTAGAAATGTGTACATTTTTTTAGCACTGACATTACTGTCACCTCAGAGAGTGCTTTGGTGACATCCCCTGTCTCTAGGGCTTGAGCACTTCTCTGGACCTCATACTCCGCCAACTGCTGTGTCTTGCTCTCCAAGTCCTTTGTCAGATGATCTACATACAAGTCCTGATGACAAAGAGGCATTTTCAAAAAATGACCACTCAGTTGCAGATTTTTCCTATCAGCTAGATAATGAGTTAAGATGTGTCAACGCAAAACAGCACAGTCACCTGCTTTATTTTATCTTCTTCTGCCTTTGTCTTCTGTGCGACCACTTTGTATCTGGTAGAATCCATGACTTTGACTTGGGATTGTAGATCCTCACCTACTGCTTGAGCGAAAAGTACCCGCTGTTGCTTTTTGTCTAAGTCCGCCTGCCTTTGAGATGCTGGTGTCAAACAGAGAAGTAAAAGATGTTTTGATGTTTAAAATTTGAGGTTAGATATTGATCTGGAAAATTACTTTCAACTGTTACAGCAATACTGTGTAGATAATATGATGGACTGCGAATTTACAATTCTGTCCGGTTAAAATTATTGTTTTGCACCGTGATCATCATTTATTTATTTACTGTTTTTCCTTGATTGGTTCTTTATGAGCTTGTAGATTAGTTGTAGAATATTCCTGTTAGCTGGGCACTCATGGAAATGCTCACAGCTGTTCAGTGTTTTCTCCACTGGCGAATAAATAACTTCTAGTTCATCAAAGTCCCAAAGCCTTATTTTTAGATTAGATTAAGGCGTCATGAATTGCTTTTTTACCATAACAAGCACACAGTGGCTCTTCCATCTGACTTAACCAAGAGTAAAGCTCTCCTGACAAGCTCGTATCTTGTTCGATTATGGATGCACAAACTGAGAGATTATTGAACATGGTCTTAAAGGAATTTACATTTACTCCCAAATTTAAATAATCAGTTTAAACATGAAAGACATATAACAGTTTAATGATGAGATATTTGAGTAAAAAGAAAAGAGGCAAGAACATCAATCTTGGAACATAATGCAAGAACAGCATCAACTGAAAAGCAAATCCTACCCAGAGCACTGGCTTGACGGCTCAGATTTTTCACGTTAGAATAATTGCTCTTTGCCTTTTGCAGATTATCTTGATCACTCTTCAGTTCAGCTTCAGTCTTTGCCTTGGAGTCTTGCATGTTGGACAGCTGACTTTCAGCTGCTTTCAGCTTTTCTCTTATTTTACACAATTCTATACCTTTGTCAGCTACCCTTTTTTTTTCCATCTTTTTGATTGGCCGCTGAACTCAGAAGAAAGAGAGCATAATGAGAGAATCAGAAATCAAACTTTAAAAGTTTGGGCCACAATGGTTGTACAAACATGTGCTGTTTGTACAACAGGCCAAACAAGAACTGTTCATATTTCATTTAAATCCTAATTTTGTTCATGTTGATTGAAAAGCTGCCAACCTTTGCCTTCAGTTCCTGCTGGAATTCTCCGAGACGTCTTTTGAAGTAACTGTTGATAGCTTCTTGAAATCTTTTGATCAGTGGCTGTAAAGCAGAGGACACAAACAATTATTAAGATGCAAGATCATCAGTATATCTTGAAACGACTCATAAAGTCATCAAATGCTTGTGAAACTAAAGTATTAAGATGCTTTTAAGCATTAATATATACAGTAAAACACAACAGACATGATCAGGGTTTAGGATGAAGAGTTCTTCATTTTCTTCTTCTTGTGGTGAGTCCTCGTCATATTCTGGTTCCCTGTCTTCTTCTGAAGTGCCAATCCTCAACTGATCAGCTACGAGAGCTACATAGAGTGCCAAAAAAATAAAGTGCAATGTGAAGCAAACTTACAAAGAAGAGAATGTATTTTTTAATGTCTGACATAGAGTTTGAAAAAGTTTTATTGTCTTTGTTCTTCAAACCAGCTTGAAAACTCCCCATTTTTTGTTATGCTTCCCTTTATAGTTGATAGCCTTGTCACACAAGACAAGACATGTTACATGTGTGACATTTTCTCCTTCTAATATTCTCTGCAGGTCATTATTTTTTAAAGATAGGCGCCCAGCAGATGACCTTATGAACCTTTCGGAACGAGCTGTTTAAGGGCCTCTTGTCACTTTGAATCCAAATAACCTGCTGCTGGCTGAGGTCCGCCAACTCAATGTTTACATTCACACTTTATAGAAAGGGAAAATGGATGCAAACAGATATGAAATTGTATGGCATGTATGGTTCATCTTTGACCATGAGTCAAACCCAGAAGCAGAAGAAGTGAAGCCTCCCGCAGACCCATCAAGGATGCAACAATGGTTTCTGAGTTGTTAGTCAACAACAAGACACTTGTCTTTCCTAGCAGTTACTGTACATGTTAAATGTAAAGAATTGATTTATCAATCTTTGGCACTAATAAACAATAAATAAATATTAACATAAGGAATCCTGTTTAGGGATCAGAATCTCAAACTACATCCATTCATATTTTTAGAAAACATTCTGTGCAATCAAAACAATTGATATAATACAAATTAAGATTTATGTAAAAAACAAAAATAAATAACTATGAAATATTTGATTAAGAATATGAATGAAATGATGAACTATTAAAATGGGATTACACCACTTTAAAATAACAGTGCTACATTGAACCAATTTTTTGTTTGTTTGTTTCTTTTTTTTCTCCAAAATCTTAAATCCATTTTACCCATTTTGTCATCTTTTGGGATCTTCTTACTGGAAACCAGCTTCTTAGTTAAATGAAAATAATTTTACTTTTAAATCTGTTCAAGATATGAATTATTTTTTGGGTAACTGTAAATTCAGTGTACAGGCAAATGGAAAAAGCAGCAGGTGTGGGTATTTCTTGACCTACGTTATGTAGTCTGCACAAGCCAGTTTGGGTCAAATTATTGGATAATATTCTTAATAAACTTTGAACAGAACTCTAGAATCCTCAGAGGTGCCTGTAATCCCATTTGAGAACCAGTGTAAACTGTGCAGCTGTGTAATGGCAGGCTTAACAGGATATTAAGGACCATTCCAGTATTCACCTGCCATATTTGGATCAAGATCGGAATCATGAGTGACATCATCTGTCTGCTGCGCTGGTGGATTCTGTATGAGAGAAAAAATAAATCTGTTATGAGCTTCACAGTGAGTATTGTTATCACTTCAAGCTTCAATTTGAAGGTTTTACAAACTAGTCCCATTCTATGGGACATTAAAATAGAAAGCGAACCAAATGGCTGCTGAGATAATAAACTTACACAAGCCAGGAACTGAGACAGAAAACAAGTCTGCTTTATGGAAATTAAACCTCAAAAGAAAGAGCGATAGTCACCGCACTAGCGCCATCTTGTGGATTCGGCTGGTCTTCGTCACGTTGGTCTTCATCGCTTGCGTTCTGCATTTTACCTGTAGCCTTAACGACAAAATGCTAACATGTCACGCCAAGCCGTCTCGACGGGTTTTGCGTGACAAAATGATCACCATCATAATTATTGTCCGTTTATAGGTTATTTGTAAGGTACTCAACATCTTTCAAGTAAAATTAAGTGTGATTCGTTCCGTTTGACTAACGTTGACTGTTTACAACTACAAAGAACACTTTCGGGAAGTATTGGCCTCCTCGCGTTTTCGTTTCACTCGTTAAACAAAGAACAACAAAAACAAACACTTACCACCGCCTTCCTGCAGCTAACAAACCCGCCGAGTGGGATATTGTGACTGCAAGCGTAACCAGGCAACGGCAAGTTTCCGTTTCAGGTAGACTCATCAACAGCAACTTCCGGTACATAAATTTTCAATGGCAGTTACAACATTTAGAGTTACCCAGTAAAAAAAGAGAGAAGAAAATAGCGTGTGTAAAAGCGCTTAAGCTTACCGACAAATGGACACTTAATTTAATTTTAGTGATATTAACTACACTGAATTTATAACTGCTTTTTTGTTTTGCAAAAGATGAATTGCCTTATTATACACAATAAAGTACATGCCTTAAGAGGGTTTTTTTTTTAAATATATGTATATATTTCGAACATTAAGTACAAAATGACACATATGATCAAGGAATGCAAAAGGCATATTTTTGTACCACAATAATATTAATATGCTCAAAAAGGAGTAGGAAAAAGTAAGAAACTTATGAACTCCTACCCTATAAACTCATACACTATTTTCAGATGGACCCTTTATTAGATAATAAAAAAGGCAGGTTAATTCATTTTCCATTTTATCCTGCTAAACATATGCCTCCATACCCACTCACACTGATCTTTTAGCTTCAATTTACATACACATTTGTGCTCTCACCCACATTTCTATATCTTTTGAAAATGATCTTTCCTTTTAAGTTGTATTAAATTTGAACTTTAACTCCTCATTTTACTTGTACCACAATTTTACACTATCATTTGAAATACGAAAGTGTTTTAATTACTAATGGCCTTATTCAAGTAATTTGTAGTATGAGTAGTTTTCCAAGTAAAGTACTACAGACTTATTAAAGTCACATTAAGGCTTTAATTTTCCCATTAAAGTCTTAATGTAAAAATTCATCCATCAATGCAGAAGCTACGATGAGATTGGTCAAGTTTTACAATGTTCCTCTTGGTTTGATTTACATTCAAGTAAACTCTTTGCCAACAAAATTGGTTAAGGATTTCATTAAACTGTACTATAATTTGCAGACAGAATACATTCATAAAAAAAACAGCTACACTAAAGTTAAAAATCAGTTCTCTGATTCTAATAAAACAATGCTTTACTTCTCAGTGGGAAATTAAATATCGCAACTTAAATCATATAATTTTCTTCATAGTTGGAGTTGCTTGTCTGTGTCTCCATAGTACAGCAATTTTGAAGAAGCCTCTTACTGAGGACCCTCATGTTTACACAACAATTGAGTAAACATATGTAAAAAAAAAAAAAAAAGACGAGAACAAATTCAGAAGAATACATTTTAAGCCAAACAACAAGGCTAACATTAACAGATTTATTTTTGCTATATAAATAAGGCAGATACACGTGGAATCATTTTCGGCCTTCATAATATTTGAATATTGGCCTTAAATTAAATTGTCAGACGTAATTAATAATTCACAGATACAAATTACACATCTTTATTAATATTTCCTCAAAAATCTTGTTTTATTCTCATAATACCAAAAAGTCAAAAAACTGAAGCCAGAACCCACTTTAAGCATCTTCAATGTAAACTGGAAACCAGACAGAGTAAAATAAAATTACCAAGATAACTATTGTCACAGTGATTCATAATAAAACCTAACCGTAAGAACTCATGTAAACAAAGTTGATGCAAGTTCATAGCGCACTCTTCACTATGAACCTACAAAGCTTTATTGATGTAAGCACACAAAATAATCTGACCCTAAAGGACTTTGGCTTAGAAACATTTCTCCAGAAAATGGAACCTGTGGCTACATTCTTGGCAAGAAATATGCTTTCTGTGTTGAGTGTACCGTCTGTTTACATACAGTATGGCAGGTAGTTTTAAAAAGCACATTCCAAGTTGATCAACAGCATTCTCTCCCGATATTAACACGTGCTGTATGACAAAAATGCATCAGGTGGTACTTCATTAGCTTTGCTGACCATTTGGAAAAAATGTGCAAAGTAAGATAGTGTTTGTCATGAGGGCAGGGAAACAAGTTTGTGCAACTGTTTGCATAACCCAGCCTAACTTGATCTGGGTAAAAACTGTTTTACCCAAAAACTTACAGATATACATTCAACCAAATTCTAGAGGCATTGTACTCTTCAGGTATACTTTTTATATAGTCTCTTAGTCTATGAAGCACTTGTTGGCTTTATTGTGCTTGTGCAACAAACATATATAGAATTCCCAAGGCAGATCATATCCTACTACTTCAGTTGTGCAGTATTAACATACAGTTTGATAAGAGCATCAGTGGTATTAAAATAAAATTAAAAAACAAAGTTTTGGCAGTTGTACGGGGTGCTCAGGTCTGGTCACAAATAAAAGTAGAAATACTGTATATTAATAACTGATCATGAAAAATAAAAAAAAGGTTCCAGGTCTCTTGAAAAATAAACAGAACATGTTCGGTCATGTTCGGTCAGCTAACTAACTAAGGTGTCAGGTGAATGCATCTCCATCTTTCTGATTATAGGACATATTTACAATAATCAGAGTATTTTCCTACTTATTACCTTGAGCACTGGAATCAGCTGAGAGTCAACCCATGATTCACTTTCAAATAACTGTTACTTATCAATGAGTTCCTTACATTAGGGAGTACTAGTTAACATAGCAGCAAGCAACATGTTGCCATTAGTTTCTACTTGGTCAACTTAACCTGGTTCCTAGAAAACTGTAGCATTTCTTTTCTGGTAGGCCAGACGGTGACCGATTGTGTGGGAATGTCTGTCTATCACAACAGTGCCTGAAGACTTTGGCTTGAACTTTCATTATGAAACTCCAGAAGCTTCAGGCAATACTGTAAACAATCTCCAAGGCTGATAGCTGCTGTCAGGACAGCTCCTCGATTCCTGGGAAGCTGACTAAGGGTCCGCCAGCTGTTCGATGGTCCATGGCAGAGTGCATGACAGTCAGCCACACATCATCCATGTTTGGCATTACAAGGATTTTCTGAAAAAGGACAGAGAATAACAGTTTTTGCCAACATCTTATGCGTCTTGTCAGGCCTATAATTGAATCGGTTATAATTTGAGACCTAAAGGTTTTAAAAATCCACACAATACTTTATGGATTTTCTCAGGAATGAATTTGCGGTACATCAACAGCTGTAATGTGAAAAATTTATGTATTTTTTTTTTTTACAATTCGAGAGGGCCAATGTGTACTTTTGTGAGTCACTTCATACAATCCTACCTGAAATTCCTGGTACAGTTTTTTCTCAATCCAGTCCGTAACATGAAACAGAGTCACTTCTCTTTCCCCAAGTTTTGGTCGAGCCTTCAGTTCCAAGTGAGGTGGTATCCTAAAGCCATACCTTCAGAAGAAAACATTCAAAATCATTCACTTTAAAAAATGTTTTATTTCTTCTGTACAATACCATTTAAACAAGAAAAGCCTTTACCACCAGGGGGCAGACATACAATCCTTAAGCTATAAACAGGTGTTTGTATAGTAGAATGCAAGTAATTGTTCTGACAACAAACACATCTTGTTAATTTCTCTTCATTTATAAACAAAGATTTGTCATTTTAGCAGCTCCTTGCAGAAATGGAGTTATGATAACACCATTAGGAGTCATCTTAAATCAATTTCTTCACTTCATTTCTTTGATCTGTAGGAAACAAACTGATGATGATGTAACAATTTACCCCTTTGAACAAAATATTGATGTTTGCTTTGGAGAATATTTTAACAGTAAGACGATTCTGACTTAACATACCAAATTCTGTCAGTGGGAGGAGGAGGAATGTTGACAGCTAGAGTCCCTCTGAGTTGCTGAACCTCCACAGTGAGGAGGAGGGGTGTGTTGGACACTTCATCCATCTTTTTTTTGATGAACTCTGTCTCCGTGGCTTTCTGAAAGTATTTGGATTTGGCAATCTTGTCCACAAAGCGCATAATCTTGCTCGATCTACGTCCACCCACGAGACTGCATTCAACAAAAAGAAGGAAAGAACAATTATTCACTTGTGTTTTCTCGTTAATGAATTGATTTTTCATTCCACAATTACAAATTAACTCTCTGGTCTGTTATTCATTTTTTTATTGTGAAGGCTTTGGACATTGTTATGCTAGTTGTGGTTACTGCCTGGTCAAGTTTGTGTGGATTATTATGTTATGTCATGTACATATTTTTACAAAGACGTCGCACAAGGCCTTACATTACATAACAAAACTGTAATTAGAGAAACTAAATGCGTAAACAGAAAGTATTACACAAACTTAGGGGTACCTTTCTGATCCAGCTGAATCATTTGAGATGTCTGTGTTGTCTTCTTCATCTGATGAACCTGCACTTGATGACTCTTCATCACTAGCAGATAGGCAGTAGGTCCGGGGCCTGTGCCTGGGAGCAACCAAAAATTAGCACTGAATGGAGGGATTTTAGATAATTACTGACCCACTCGGTTTTCAAACCAATCTTGTCACCACAAAACCTTATATAAAAGAGCCATGAAGTGATTGTGAAGAATTTTTATGGTTTAATTACAGTTAAAAATGTGATTAGGTATCATTCTCTAGCCATACAGAAAGACATGCTTCAAGCCTTCACCATTACAGAGGCAACGTCAATCTCCAATTTTCCAGCTTTAGTGCCGGGGACTTTAAGAGCTCTTTTCATGTCAGAAACGTGCATCTTTAATGATCTAAATGGTTCAAAATCCAATGCAAAGGCTGATTTTTATTAATTTAGTTCATCATACTAAGTTTTTTTTTTTTTTTTAGCTTTTCTGGCTCTAAAATATGAATACAGTTTGAAACAATCTGTTCTCTAATATTTAAATGTTGTGCAAGGTTTTAATTACTTAGAAGTAATTCATCAGATACATTTTGACAATATGAGGAACAAAGAAATAAATAATTGAACACATGAAGGCATTGGTTAATTGTACATTTAGGTTGAATATTAAGCAGAACTCACCAAGGGAAGAAACATCCAATTAACAGCCGTAGAAAAGTAGGAGTCGAAAAGAAGTAGAAGCAGTAAGTTTTAAAAGAGGGCAGGAAAAAATTAGTAAAAAAATTAGAGAAGCAACAATTTCCTAGATTGAGGCAAAATACAGCCAAAACTGTTCTGA